TCGCAAACTTAAGTGACTTACCAGGTGTGTAACTGATGTACAAAGAAAATCATCCACTTTTAACTAGCTCAACTAAACGTGTAGGGGAAAATATTTTAACGCACAATCTTTTCATACTATTCACCAGTCTAATTGGTAAAAAAAATCGCAAATAAAACTGAGAAAAGCCTTTTTAATGAGGCTAAATGGCCAATTATATTTAATTTAAAATCATTATAATTTTTAAAAATTGTAAATATTGTAACGGGAATTGTATTTACAGAAGCCTCTATTTACGTATCAAATAATTATTACTGTACAACTGTTTATGTTTTTAAATTACGTTTATTACTTTTCAAATCTATAAATCATCCTACTACGCTTGGTAATTTATGCATTAATATACCCGCTTGCATTATTCAATATTTCCCACCAACTTAAATAAAAATACGACTACAATGAAATGTAAGTCTGACTAAACGCGTGGTTTCTATACACGTTATCACGAATACAATTTTTTATAATATTCTTGATACGCTTCGACTCAATAATCTTCCACTTGACTTATATAAATCACATTTTAATTTGTTAATTTCATAAAATATTAGTGATTACAATTAACTACACCTTTCTTTCCTCTGAGATTTGGCGAAGTCATGTTTATGCACGATCTCAAATTGATAAATTTATAATCTGGTACATTTTACAGTTAAATAAAAATATTTAAAAACATATCCACTGTATAAAAAATTGTTAATAATCAATATGAATCTTTTAAACAAAGTGTCCTTAAATGCATCCTTTACTCCTTCAATATTGATGACACTAGGTGTTATACTTTATCATTTACAAACCTTTAAGTCGCTGATTTTTTTGAATATATTAAAAACATGTCAGAAAATTTAAATACCATCAACACCCTAACAACCCCTTACTTCAACAATCGTATGTTTACTCCACGTCGATTATAAAACCACACACGTGGTCAACCAACAATGCCGCCAGCTGTGATTGACAGGTGATGTCATCTGTTTCTGACAATGTGATCAGCTGATTGTCACTTACCATGGGCATGGTGGCGTCCATTGCGATGCATGTCTCGTGTGTATGTATCGCGGCGACCATGTCCCGGCCAACACTGAGTACACGGTGACGTCTTGACGCCGGCGCCGCACCGCCGCGCACACTCCTGCGCCTCCCATTCATCAATACTGTACTGTGTGAGGCGGCTCACGTAGGCCCGCCAAAACCGCCGAACCGCCGCGACGCACGTACTGGCTCTAGGCCACGGTTTGTTGGGGCTGGCTAGGTTATTAGGTTATGTTTGTAATTTTATGGAGATGTTCCCATTTATTAATACTCTACAGTGTGATGAAAAGGGTAGGGAATGTAAGTAAACTGAGATATCCTTTTGGTGGCCGTGCATACTTATGATTTAAAAAAAAATTTAGTGTCCCCCAAAATTGGGGAATTTTGGGGCAGCTCAAAGTTAATAAATAATGTACACCCCCTTCAAGTGACAACTCATTTTGAAGTGTTTACATTTACAAAAACATAAAGAAGAAACCATGTTTACAGGAACCATTTTTGGAGGACACTCAACATTTTCAAAATTATAAAATGGAAATTCCTGCCAAGGCTGCATGAGATGTCTTGACTTTGTATTCACCTGTGTATGAGATGCACAGTATTACCTATTCAAACCCGCTACAACGTAGGCCTACGTGCATGGCAATACTTACTAGATACTTGATACTTGTCTTAAGCGGGCAGCAGATTTTGCGGCCCTAGGGATGTAAAAACCTGCTCGGTCACAAAATAACGATGACAGCTGGCATGGGCAGCAAAACGTAACTTTCAGCCACCAATAAACGTATGTAAAACAGCTAAAAACATAATGGTTTGGTGAAAAAATATTTTGATCTGTTATTGAGTAACGTAACTAATCAAACAATCGTGCTTATGAATCTAGCGATTGCTCAAGCAATCAAATGCCTGCAAAATTTTGATTTTACCCTGGAAAACTTAAGTATGGAAACAAGCACACACATTTTTATACCAGTGAATGACTCTCCAGCTGTAGATAAACCAGGCGGTTGTAGCTCCCATTGGAGCTTATTGCTTATTGATGAGGATAAAAAAAGCTCACAGGAGAAAAAAAGGTTTTGTACCTGGACTCAGTAGGATCATACAATTATATACATACACAGAAGAAATAGAAATATGTGATGTGATAATACCAAGACAATTAAATACCCACGACTGTGGTATTTACATGCAGATATTCACAGAACTTATCATTCAACCAATCGTACAGAATGTGTCTCATGATCAATGGAGACTGACAATCGCTTCAATGATGTTTAAGCCAATAATAAGTCATAGCACAACACATAAAGTCATTGATGTCAACAAACGTTCGTCATCAGTCAGTTGCACTAATGTAAACTCGACCTACCAGAGCAACAAAAATGCGAATGAAAATGATAGTAACCAATGTGGATGGGTTTCTGTTACTATGAGAAGTGGTTTAGCTGCTTCTAAACAACAACAGTCAACAAATAACATCCTAGCCCTGTCAAATAAGTATGAACATTTGCGTCATGTTGTAGAAGATGTAAAAGAATCTCCAATTAACCAATCCACAAAAAGTAATGCTGTAAAAGAAAATTACGTACTAAGAAAAATAAATAACTCACTCGATGGTCAAAATAATACACTCAGTATAACTTTTTGCTCGGACAGCCAAGGAAGAAATGTGCAAGCAAAAATTGAAAGTTTTAAGCAACAACAGGATAAAGGCCTTTGGATATGTCAGACCTAATGTGAGACTACTCTTCCAATAATTAAATCCTCAGTCTTTGAAACACAGAATCCACTTGTTATTATGGGAGGAACAAATAAGTATTTGGACAACAAATTAAATTCTATTCATGAAAGCTTGGAGAGAGTATAAGTTATCTCACGTTATTAAAACAAGACCTACTTTCATCACAATTCTGTTCTCAAACATTTTGATGTACCAATTACGCAAGATGATGCTCAAAGGTTTGCAGCAGTGAATAACCACATCAGGGGCCCATTTCATAATCAACTACAAGTTACAACTTGTAACTTCCATTAGATTTGATCAGCTGATTTACTAATAATATTAGTTTGTACTATATTATGAAATGGGCCCCAGGTCATTGGTAGCAACAACCCAGAATTTACACCTCATAAATCTTGACGGATGTAGAAGACAGCATTTTACCAGACATGAACAATATTGGAAAAAATAAACTCACCCACCTCATTATGCAGTAAATTGTAAATATTTGAGTACAGATCAAAGACAAACCAAATCAGCCTAAGGAAAAGAAAATTAAAATTCAGCTGAGTTGAATCACTTTTTTACTAACTTAAATTTAAACCAGAGAGGAACATTGTTTTCAGTACCAACTGGTGAGCCAATTCAGAATTTCTTAAGACCAGATGGTTGCATTTAGGGTTTTGATGTGGTTTTACTAATTGTGAAGAGCTTTAAGGGTATAGCAGCCTTCAAAATGTTGGTTGTGGTGAGCGGCATGATTAAAGATTGGTATTATTTTGTCTTCATGTACCACATCAAAACGATGGCCTGTCCTGTCATTCGAACTCTTAAAGAGTTTGAAGTCTGGCCAATGTATTCTTTTGGACATTGTGAGTTTCACAAGTTGATCAACCAACTATCGGATGGACCTTGTTTGTAACTTTGCTATCAAATTCAGTTGTACTACTCATAATTTTACAAATACTGTACCACATCAGGGCTTGTGACATGGTTCACAGCCGTGTTTAAAATTGTTTGAAGGCCGGGAATTTTGAATTTTGGGTCTCACCAACATATTTTTTTTATTTTGTGGCATTTTAAAAATAACACGTGGTTCTCTGGAAAAATATATATACAAAACACTTTGATTGACGTCCGTGTCTTTATGAAAGGGTTTATCGAAGCCCTGATATCTAGGGAAAGTTTCTTATCGAGACCTTTCATTCAGGTATGCAGTTAATTATGTGTGGTTACGAATTACAGTTTTCTGTGAAGTTCGTGATCCTTATTATATATGTCTAAAGATGTAATGGGGATACAACAAAACTTGAACAATGTAAGACCAGGTTACTGTCAATACCATTAAGGTCCCAAAACTATGGTCCCGAGGCTTTAAAAATTGTGCCCTTAGGGGTAGCGTGGGTAGGGGGTAGCCCAAAATTATCAAATGGCAAGTATAATCGAGTTTGATATGATTTTACAGGTCTTGATGAAACATAACAATTGACATAAAGAAAACCAAAATCGGACCACTAATAACAAAATAGTAAAATAGTAAAACGTTTCAAATACAAATAACCAATAGCTTATTCCCTATATGAGAAATTCGCTAAAACGAAGAAATTGTATTACGGTAGTTCCGTGATCCGTTAGGATGCAAGACATACTGTTCAGGAATTAATGGCTTGGTTCTCTGTTGTGGCTCTAAGAAGTTTTAGTGCGTGTTAACATAGATAAAACATACTCCCTTAGGTGTTAGTCCATGACACCATGTATCCCTTTTGGTTCTTAAATTATGCACTTCACCTAAGAAATATATAGTTTATTAAATAAAAAGTTGAGTAAATTAAAAATGGCTACACACATTTTGTGTATACATTATTTAAAATAGATCTACATTATTATAATGTCTCTTTGCATTTTACATTCAAACTGAAATATGTATGCAAAGTTTGCATACATATTTCAGTTTAAATGTAAAATGTATGATCTATGATAAGCTTTTATTATAGTTTTTATTTTGGTAAAAATTGCTACACACGTAAAATTTAATCAAAGGGCCAAACTACGAAAAAGCCACGAAATCTTCATTTCATGATCATTGCTTTCGGTCTTTACTTGAAGTTTTATTTTGTTGTCTGCTTTTACTCCTGCATTCTTCAGGGCACATCACCGCACACCTGTTGTTGTGTTCGTGTTGTAATGTTTTGTTTCTTTTTCTTATTGTCATAAGTAGGTGTTGGTGTTGGTGTAATTGTTTATTTTTATTTGGGTGGGGGTTAGTCTGTTAGTCATCAGCCAGTAATTATTAGAGTATAATATTTATTTGGTTAGTATTAATAGATTAAAAACTTAAGATATAATATCCCATTCTTGGTCACTGCAGATTTTTTTAATTAAAAAGTTATTATTAGGCCTATTTCATTTTTTGAGGTTAGAAGTTATAAAAGTTACAATTAGACAAAGCAATGAATAACTTAAACTTAGGCCTTAGGGGTTCGGCCTGATAAAAAAAGTTTTAGGTTTTATATCTTGTCTTTTAGATAGAGTTTTAAGTCAGCTACAATATCTCATGACAAAGGACTACAAACGATTCAGAAAAGAGTTTATGACAGTGTTTAAGCTACATAGAACACTAAGATACTGACCTACTTAAAAAAATCATTAGTCAGGGAATGCTTAGTTTATGATTGTTGGTTCTATTAGAGCCTAGGGAATAATCGTTGGTTTTATTAGGTTTGACCTATTTATTATTAGGCCTACTAATCAATATTTACTGGTGTAGTGATCGAAGATAATTTGAGAAGTGAGAACTTTTTAGTTCAACTAATAACTCCCATTAATGATTAGTTCAACTGAGTTAATAACAAGCTTACTTTACTTAGATTCATTGTTTGATTTTCATAGTTAAATATCTTATTTCTTGTGAAAATGAGATTTTGCTCACCCATTTAAATTCAAAACTATAGATGTGCTTGTAAGTAGCCTCACTTAGGCCAACTTGATTTTTCCATTGAGTCTAATCCTAGATTTATACAGGTAGTCCCTATTTTAGGTGATCCTGATATGGTTCCGCATAGGCCTAAACTTAACCTATATGTAATTCAGTGACACAAAATATATTTTGATCAGCTACATGCTGAGAAAAGTTGCCTATCTCCTTACCCCTGTCACTTGATCATATTCTCTGCTATAACTTAAGTTACTTGGATTCATTCAGCAAAGCGATCACGCAGAATGTATCCATCACGTTGAACGGAGACTCAAGTAGACTTCCGTATCTGTTGTCAAAAACAACCGAATGAAAATCTCGATCGATATATCGAATAATTGTTTAACTTATTCGGTTTTTTTTACAACAGATACGGAAGTGTACCTACAATTGATAAAGTACGGTACTGTATTTATAATATTTTACAGATGATGGACTGGCCAATTTTCAGTATTTTCCTCTATGTCTCTGTCATCCTGCCAGTAAAATCTTTGGTTGTCCCATGTAATGATTCTTTTACATCAAAATGTTTATGTGGTGATATTGACTACATGGGTAAAAGACAGTTTGTAGTGAATTGTACCAACACAAATTTTCAAAATGCATCAGTATTACAGAATCTACCTTCAAAAACACAAGTGAGTATTAGAAGACAGTTTGTAATTATTATGGATGTTTATAGGATTAGATTCACTTTTTTCCCTTTTTCATTTGTTCCCAGGAACGTTTTTCTTCAGCCAAGAAATCAATAGCGATATTATATTTTTAGCATGGGTAATATTAGGCTAAGTGATTCTTGTCCATTTATGTTTAAGGTTATCTGATCTGCTAACAGGTACACTGGTGATTGTATAGACTGAATGAAAATTTACAGTAGCTTTGCACCAAATCATTGGTTGGATTGTGATCCAAGCCTTTAACACGCTATTTTCTGTAAAATCCAGACAAAAGTTTAGATTAGTACTAGGATAGTAAGGGTTGTTATTGCCTATATCTCTGCAGTATGTGTGTACGCCGAAACGAGGCTCATCCCTGCTTGCTTGCATAATCTGTGAACCGTAACACTATTTGCAGCTCTATAGTAGCTGATGTGTACAGTTTGCTGTGTGTTTTTAAAACCATTAAATCTCCTGCTGGGTGAGACGTAAGGTCAGTGATACTTTTTTGATTACAAGAAACATATTCTATGCCGACATTCATCGCCAGATGGCAAAAATTTATGGCCCTAATGCAATGAATGAGAGTAAAGTGTGAAAATGGGTTAATTAGGAGTGTAAAAATGGCTGTGAAAAATCTTTTTCTCTTATGGGCTACTTTGAGTAGTCTGAAAACCCACCAAAAACAAAATTCATTCTGAAATAAATATTTTCACGGCCAATTTAAAACTCCCCAGCCCATTCCACATTTGCAACAACAATAATTGCATAATTTGATACACTATCATTTTATCAACTACTAGCTGGCCCGACAGACGTCGTCCTGTCCTAATGTGGTTTTATGTCAAATGCTCGTTCATTTTCAAGATGAGCTCGTTCGCATGGCTCAATCACGTCCTGGTTGAAGTTCGTTCGCTACGCTCACTCACCTTTAGGTTGGAGCTCGTTTGCTGCGCTCACTTGCCTTCAGGTTAGCTCGTTCGCTACGCTAACTCGCCTCCAGATTGAAGTTTGTTCGCTACGCTCACTCACCTTTTGGTTGCAAATTAGATGTTATTACAAATTTTAAAAAATATTGCTGCGCCCTGTTGGTAAACCTATTAACTGTTTAATGCTATTGAACATCACAGAATCAAATTGTTCAGTTGAACCAGCTGTTAAGATTCTTTAATTCCATTTAAATATGAGTAATCATAAGGTTAACATGGGAAACTCCAGAGCCACTGGGACGGAGCCCTTTTGACGGATCTGCACCAAACTTCACACAAACCATCCTCGAATAATGCTTAATAATGCCTGAAAGTTTCATTACAATCTGTGAAGCAGATTCTGAGTCCATAAAGGACAAACAAACAAACATTCATACATTGGATTTTATATATATAGATCAAATAATTCATTCAGATGTGGCGCCACCTAGGTGCGTATATTTTCCCAAGTATAAGTGAAGCGTGAATGTAGAGTGACGTGAGATGATCTGTGTAGCTTTGTTAGGCCTACGTTCTGACTAAGCATTGCGGCCATAAACTTCAGTCATCTGGCAATGAATGTCAGCATCATATATGAGTTTCTTATCGTCAAAAATGTATCACTGACCTAAGCTCACACACCGTGAGATTTATTATTTTTTTTTTAAAGGAACAGCCAAGTGTAGGCTGCATATCAGCTAGCTAGGGAGCTGTAAATGGTGTCATTCTGTTCACAAAAATGATGCTAGCGGAAAGGTGCCTCGCTGCGGTGTTAATGCGATTCATAGAGCTAATTTGTAAAACTACCCTAAATGATGAAATTTGATATGCTAGACAAACTAGCGTAGGAAACGTCTAATTTATTCTATTTAATAGAATTTACTATTGTGTGAAAACACAATAAGTGCTTAAGACACACTCGACTAAAAGATAGAAACTATTTCAGACTGGCTGTTTATTCAAGATATCAATTATCCAGTAATCTTGTTTGCAGGTTCTGATTTTCACTGGCAACAACATCAACGAGCTTCCAATGAATGTGTTTGGTTCTATGAACAGTTTCTTGGATTTGAAAGTAGTGGACATGTCAAACAACAACATTCAAGACATCCGCGGTAAAACATACCACAGAGTGTCGAATGTCGAGAGACTGATCCTGAACCACAATCAAATATCAATCTCTTCAAAGGAACCGAGCCATCACCATCCACGGTAAACAATGAAATTATATCCTAAATCAGGAAGTCTCCCAAGATTCGGGAAATCACTAACATTTCCTCGTTTACTAACTCAAACCTAGGCCTAAATCTACTTTTGGTGGTGGTAAGTTATATTTTCTTCTAAATATATGCTATAATCTATAAATTCATCATTTAAAAAAAATTTAATGTTAAATTCATATTGAAAATAACTTTGCAAGCTACAAAAGGGTATTAAAGAAGCTTAAGTAGTGAGAATGCTAAAATATTGTACATGTCATTGTGTGTTGCTAAGTTGTACAGCTCGCTGATTTACCTTGCTTGATTACGGTTTGCATTGTTATGCCAATAGATTTATGGGTGCTTGTTTCACCAGTATTTTAGTTAATGTCACAAAATTAATGATTATTGGCATCCATTATTATTATGCTTAAAAATTCTCAAGATTCCCACCTTACCACAGAACTTACCTTCTCCTCCGCTTGAGATTGCGTTGAAATCAGTAGCGTCATAGTTGAAATACTTCTAGATAAATATGTAAAACATAGTATGCATGTACAAGTTTCTCTATGGATGGAAATACTGGTCTAATATATTATTTATTAAGCCTAATCAATTTGTTTAAATTATTTGAATGTAAGCTATGCCTATAGCCTACAGATTTTATTACTGAATTATTAATGTTTTTGTATGTTTTCAAATTTATGCTTGTCAATATTATCCATTGACTAGCATTATCAAGTTATGGCTTTGTTGTTTTTATGTCACATCACCTTCCTGATTTCTTGTTAACTTTCTCTTATCTTTCTTTTTAATTGAAAATCACTGTAAACTGTTGAATCTTTATTCACTTATATTCATTTATATTTGTAACCTACATTTTAGAAATTATACAACTTGTATGTAAAGACGGTTGCTGCCAATAAATAAAATATGGAACACTAATGAAACAAAACAGAACAGTAAACAACAAGTCCAAAATTAGTAATGGTTGCGTTACTTTCTAATCTGTTAAACAACTTTCAGCATTTTTTCCAATTTTGAGAACTTGGTTGAACTCCACTTGACGGATGCATTTGCGGACAACAATCCGGAAGATCTCGCCTCCGATCTGCACGACATTTTCATCAACAGTGAGCTCACTTCTCTGCGCAAACTGCATTTGGAGCAGAACGAGATATCTCAGTTCAAAGACCCAAAAGTCTTCTGTGATCTACCAAACTTACAAGACCTTCATCTGGGTAAGTTAGGAGCTATTATGTTTGTTTATCTTTGTTTTGTCTTAGTAGGTTATAACCAAAATAATTAATGTTTTAAGTAAATATATTTATTTGGCTAATCGTCTTAGTTATAAAACTAGGATTCAATTGGTTGTCGGTTGAAAATATGTTTCATACTCAGTTACTGATATAGGATTTTAAAGCTTCATCGACCATCTCCCTATTCCCCTTGCCACATGGACAAACGAGGCAAACATTTCAAAACAAAAGGCAGGGCAACAAATGCAGCATCAGCAGGCCTACCTTTTTGTTTCAAACTGTTTATTAAGTGTATTTTTGTAAGTTTTCTCCTCAGAATCCTTTTTCTCATCCCAGAAGCTCTTACCGATGGAGCATCCACTGTTTTATAGTCATTCTGCCTCAAACAAACTATTAGGAATATTATACTGACTGTATGGTATTAAAAAGTAATAGATACAGTAGAACCCCTGTTAACCGAAATAAAGGGGGGAAAGCCGTTTCGGATAACGAATTTTTGGGTTAACCCATCATATGCTAAAATAGCCAATGCATCACCACAGTATGTAGGAAAAATGAATTTAAGAGAATGTCTATATAATTCAGTGTTTTATTTCAGCTACAAAAATGTTCCAATGGGATAGAAAATACTTTAAACCAGACAACTGAAGTTATTAAAGCATTTTACAGCCCTATATTCCTATATTATTTTATAGAACCATTTCGATTAACCCAAATTCGGTTAACAGGGGTTCTACTGTACTGCATATGCTAATCACTCAAAACAGAACTTGGTATTTATATAGGGCTGTAGGGACAAGGCTCATCCTCTATAGTGTTTTGAAGTATACAAATTAATTTTGCAAAATTGTTTAGGATTTGTGGGGCTTAACACTAGACATATTTTTTCTCTGTTTGATGGAGATGATTGTTTTTCCAGGTCAAAACCACTTGACGGGTTTACACTTTGACATTGACTGTCTCCCCCACCTGAGGTTCCTGGACCTGGAGTACAACAACATCCGACAGCTGGCTCCGGACGATCGCTCGGCTCTAGACAGCTACACCAAGACTCACACGGACCATGGCCTAACCATCGACCTCTCGGACAACTCCCTCACTGGGGGCTGTAGCAGCCTCTATGCATGGATGCAGGCAACCAAGGTACAGTAATACAGTGGTCTTGATTATCTGTCCTAAACTGGCCACAGCTTAGTCTGGGTAGCCGAGTGGTTATAGTGCTCGCTTTCAAATCTGAAGGTCGCTGGTTCGATCCCAAGCTAGATCGTTTTCAGTCCTAGATGCCATTTGTAATTGGGCTATCAATGATGCTGTCTGTTTGGATTGTTCTCTTAAAAAAATAAACTCCAAAGGCAGATAAACATGAAGAAAATAACAAAGAAGTGTTGTACAACAAATCCATTTAAAAATCAGTTAAGTCTCTATTGTCAACGCTATTTGAGTTAAATTTTGTTTGTTTATCGAAAATTAATTTACACACTGTTTTCAACTTGACTGAGATGTCGGATACAGTAAACCTTCAATAGTTCGACACTCGTTGTAGTGTTGAAGTTTAACACTGGCTGAGCTATTTTGTCAAGTGATATTTAATGGTTACTATTGTGATGTAAGCTGACTTGAACATTAACACGTTCGCTGCTACGGACGTTCCGGAACGTCAAACGGGCCACGGCCCCAGGAGCTAGGAACGTACCGGAACGTCGCCGTTCATTGTTGTTTAACGTTACCATGGATCAGCCAGCTTGTCACGAGCGTCCTATTATTTATTTGCAGCTCGTGGTGACGTACTTTTCTGACAATAAAAAATATTGTTTCCCAAAATCACCACCAGGGTCGTTTAGAACAAGGCTTTGTCCCACCTCTTTCCTGCTAGATAGCGACAGTACTTTACCGACTGCAACCTGGGTAGTGCTGCTACCTATCAGAATCACTTAGTACTATGTCCAAAGCCAGTTTTATTGCAGAACATTGCCATCCAATATAGCTACTGTTGTTTTTACTGTAATTCAGTGTATCGGCAGCAATGTTTACGCAGCGGCGAGCGTTAGTTCAGCTCCTGGCGCCGTCCCGGCATCTAGCGGTCAGCAGCGAACGTGTTAAATTGTCATGTATTGTTGACTTGAGATTTAACTAATGAACAGTGAAATTTTTAGGCTTTTTAGTACCTATTTAATAACTTTTGGTGATTTATATATAAGACTTGTGTTTTTACTTTCCTGTATATTAAACTCCATTTACTTCCTATAGTTCGACATTTCGACATCCCTTAAGTCCACAAAGTGTCGAACTATCGAGATTCTACTGTATCAGAAATGTACAGGGGTGTGACTACGTTAAAAATATATTAATATTAAATTACCAAAATATATTTAAAAAATATTTAGTATGATATTAAAATAAATTCAATGACACAAACATAAAAGTGTTATTGAACTTAGTCCATTTCCATTTTTAGCGTAACAAAACTACTGTAAACGGATATATTATGTACAGTTACAATTTATATATAGTATACAGTATATTAATTTATATAACTTATCGTAAGGGCAGATAAAATTGTTTATTCTAAGTTGAAAAAACAAAACATATTTGTTTATTGTCTCTAAAAAAAGGAAAGTTTGTTTTAAATGCCTTACTACCTGTACTCTAAAAACATTTTCATGACAAAAAATAAAAATTAAAGACTAAATTAATCCCAGCAAAATCCTGGGCACGCCACTGGAGAAGTATGCAGATATGAGGAATTGACAAACTATTTGGTATACAGTAGTGATTTGTCAACAATGAATCTCAAAACTTAGATAACGTTTTTTGTTTTGAATGTATGCTGCATTATCGTATGTAGCTTTTATATTTGCTCAATTACTGTATAAACTGTTCTTGAAAAATCTGTTTTTTTACTAACTTGTACCTAAAAACATAAGTTAAACAAAAATGAACTTCGGCGTTTGGGCTATTTCAAGAAAAATATAATAATTTTTAACTAGGTATTTTCTTTGACCGGTTGTCGAAAATATGCGACATTACAAAAGGTTATCAAAAATATAAAAAAGCAAGAATATATTGTTAAAAAAGTTTAAGTTTAAGTTAAAAAAAAAACACAATTGCAGCCTATAATGCAAACGATTGCTGTTTCACAGGTGTTTCACCAAGTGACACTGGTCTATGTGTAAGATTAAATTGTATACCTCGGTCCGGGGCAATGACGCATATATGCAACGCTCGGTAGCAAACGTGTTAAACAATTAGAAAATCTGTCAAGTTCAGTCAAAAATCTCATCTTCTAGTGACAAGCCAGACACTGCGGGTTCAGAATATTTTTCTACAACTACGGTAACCATTAACCCATTATGTAAACACCACTGACTAACTCGTCAAAACAGTACTTCACTTTTTTCTGACAAACACCATTGCCACTCACATCTCTCAGCTATTCAGACTGACTTTATATTTTATATCGCAGTACAGATCAGATAATAGTTTAGTCAGTTACAGAAATGTCCACCTTCAAATCAGAGGTTTTACTCTTAGATTAAAACCAGCTAGCCTAATATCTCCCTCACTTCTTCTATTTCACCAGGTTGTTGTCCGCAACAAAAACATTCTCCACTGTCATGAGCTCCACCCATCTGATGGCTGTCCAGCATTATTGGCCTCCCAGGTGCCGGCCGCGCCATCCTCTCACACCGGAACGGAGCTATTTCTACTGGTCGCCCTGTGCGCAACCCTCGGGCTGCTGGCCTACACCAACTGGCATCCGATTGAGAAACAGATGCGGCCTTTGGTGGACGCCCTCTCTCACAAAGTTCATTACACCAACATCGGCCGACATGAGGAGCAGGAGATGAACGTGTGAAGAGGATTTTACCGTAGGTTAACTGTAGCCGTCCTGTACAACGGTTAGGTTAGATTCCTACAACTCCTAACCAGTGTCGAAGTACCTAGTCTGTAAATACCTAACGGATATAGAAGAGGTGGATTTATAGTTTTAATGTGATTGGATGTTAAAAAAAGTTAAACGTAGACGTCCTCTGTTTTATCAGAGTAAATAATAGTTTGTGGCACATTCATAGTATGCACCAAAATATTTAGTAAGGTAATGGACATTTTGGCATAATTTATTTTTTGTGAAGATTTTGCAGCTGTGCCTTAGGCTAGGCGCACACGAGCGATTATTTTGAGGCGACTATTTCATCGGCCGATCTGTGCATAATGTATTTGAATGGAAGCGCGCACACAGGCGATCGAGAATTGCGCCGATTTTAAAATCTGGGTTTTGCCACAGATTCGTAGGCGAGGCGATTGTCGCCCGAAAATCTGTAACGTACAGGTTGTTATCAGTCCGCGCACACGGTCGACTAAAAAATCGGCCAGTCGCTTGTTGTTCTCCACAGGAGTCAGTGAACTTCAGTACTTCAGTGTGAGCTGTTTTGTTTTCTTTGCTAAAAAAAGGCCACAGCTGTTATATTAAAAATTGAAACTTTCAACAGACATTCTTAAAGAACTTTTTACTGTCATCACGTAAAGTGTATAGTTTATAAAACTGCCGATTTAAAAGTCTCTGACTTACTATCGGATGAACCCAATATTTAAGTTGTCTTCTTTTTTTCTTTGATCTAATTAGAAGAGCACAAACACAGGTTAATTCAACAAAGTCAACATTTTATTATAGCTTAAACGCACTAAAAAAAATCCATTCCTCGACTAAAAAATCGCCACGTGTGCGCCTAGACATAAATCAAGGACGATTTACTTTTGGCCGATTTTTTTATCGGCCAATCGAAAAATCGAGCGTGTGCGCCAGGCCTTAAATTAACTTAAAAATACCTCTTAGCTTTTGAAGAACAAATTTGACAATTAATTAGGCTACCACAGCAGAAATAAAAGATAACTAGTTTAATTTATTCAATATGTTATCTGCCTCTTCTTAGTATTCCACATCCATTTAGCATTTAGTAACCTAAGAGTATTACAATTTGGTTTTGAAATGTTCTATGTGTAGTATTATTTAGGTTTAAATAATAACTAGACAACTATAAGACTAACCAATTACTGAACAATATGTGATATAGCATTGAATAATGTACTTATTTAAATTTTAAGGACATTATCTCTATTAGCATTCTATACACTGCCTTATTAACAATTTTATATTTAAGTATCATCTTTGACTATTATTACAACGTATCATTCATGCAGTATTGATTATTAAAGTATTATCCTATCTTTACTCTGGTCTTAATATCTATAGTTTAAGACTTATATTGTTTATCAATTAATTTAAAGTTCTTAGAATGACATTGTATTTTATTAGGAATTGAGTATGAACAAAATTATTTTTGAAGGACATAAACAATTAATTTCCATACAAATTTTCTTCCACATTTTAGCACCTAACTTGTTATTTAAATAAAGTCCGTCCTGTTTTGGGATCACCAAGCTATAAACTGATCTCCTGGTTCAAATCCCTACAGTCAGTCATACTTTTAAACTTGCGAGGAAATGCTTTTACTCTGTGATTCGAATCAAAGGAGATACCGTTAGTACTTTTTTACAAATCATGCTTTTAGTACTTGTCTCACTTCATTCTGCACTCATATCAGCAGAAATAAAGAATATATTCATTAATAGATATTAGAAAAGTGCCTTAAAAATTTACAATGTTTTTAAACTAATAAGATCGTCAAAACAATCTTAAATTAGGACATCGCCTTAAAAATGTCAATATTAGTTTGTATGTTTACAAATGTTTTAATACCTAATATTCTAAATTTTTAGATAAAATTGTATTATTTTTATCTTTAAAAGACTTACAGTTATGCTAAGTTGTTGCATTTACACAACTTGATGTCCCCAGACAGTAAAATAAAAATGCTTGTTTATCTATGGTAATAATCTTATTGATTGAATTATAATGATTTTGACTATGAAGTTTTTTATTTCCCCTCTTGATATTGTTACGTTTAGAACAGATGATATCCTGTGATATATGTTCACTGCTTGATACCCATTATTAGTTGGAATAATTTTATCCAAGAACTTTTCAGAACCGTTTGCAGACAAACTGATGATGATGGGAGGCAGCCAGGTTCTGACATTACATGTAGTTATTTGCGTTGTGCTCTATTTAAAACTGTTCAAATTCAACCTAATACAGTTCCAAACTGTCTCTGAACGGTGGGTGAACTTCTCAAAGCACATTAGACCTGACCATGAAGGATTTGAACACTCGTTCTAGGGTGTCTCCCTCCTGGCCAGAGAGACGCCTTAAGACTGCTCGGTCATTGATCATACCCTATAGTCTATCACACTACTAGCATTTGTCAACCAAAAGCATAGGCAGTAGTGCTAAAACTTGACTCCTAAGACACATCAAGCTCAGTATAGAACTGCAACTATGCGAATCAATTGGGATTTAGGACAGTACCACATTCGGACTGTAAACAATTTGGATAATTGGATTTGGACTGAAATTTGGGGTATTTTACAGAAAATAGGGCAAGTTGAGCAGAGCTTTTACTATAGTGATCACAGAATGCGTCAGCCAAGATCGATCGAAAAATTCAAGCTCACGGAGGGGCGATTTTGATTTTCCTTGACCGTAGGAGACGGATGATAATATCTACAAGGCCACGGAAGCTGTGCAAGATTTTTCCGCAGTTTTGAAAATGATGATGATATTTCATTAACCTCAAGAGAAGATGTGATAAGCCAAGAAGACCGCAGGACCGGTTTTGGATTTTGCCGCGATCACAGCTTCTATCATCTTTAATAACCATTCTCGCTAATTATGGTTTTAAGTTTTATGAATTCTCTCTGTAAGCGATTTGGAAAGTTGGAGTTCAGATATTTGATTGTATTTAACTTTTCAGCTGTTTTTGTTTAGTTATATTAAGCATAGATAGTTGGTAGCAGTTAAGTAGTTCTTTCTTGCACCTGAGCTGCTTTGTAACAGTCAGTTGCATCAATAAATAAAAATAGCATAGGCTTGCTCCATGACAAGAAATATACTCTCCCTCTTCTGCTTATAAAATGAACTTACCACTATTCTCGCCAGTGTTGTCTGGAAATTTAATGAATAAGTGGGGTTTTAAAGGCCTTTTTACACCGGCGTACTGGACGTTATGTATGTCCGGTACGATTTGTTTCAAGAAATCACTGCCCATGTTATCAAATGAGCTCTTTCACACCGCGTGTTCAGGACGTCCTGAACGTCCGCGGCTGGTCTTGGGTGAATTGCTCGGAGAGCGATTTTTCTGAAACGTTCACGGCGTCCATGGGCTAGCGCATGCGCAGTACACTTCAAAACCACGTGCTCAGCTGCCGCGTGGTCTTACACTCCAAAACTCTTTCGTTTTTTGTTGTAGGATGAACCCAATTGCTCCTTTTCGTAACCCAGTATAACAAAACTAGATCATCATCACTATTGCTATCACTCTGTTCATTAATCGATGGCACGGAAATCCCAGGCTCACACCAAGGAACTTGCGGATGAGACATACTGTATATGCACAGGTAACAAATGCACTTAACAATAACACTACAAATGAGTGGCATTACTTGTCTGACTGCAAATGAACATGTGGACGCTTTGGAAGTTTCTGTGCGGTTTGAAAGGACCAAGTACTGGACGCCCGTGGACGTCCAGTATGTCGGTGTGAAAAAGCCTTAACATTAAATTAATACTGATAAAGTTAGATTCAAATGAATCCTAATTGTAGTTTTTCATACAGACTGTATAATTTTCTTAGTTAATTGGCCACAAATTCTTAAAAGTTCCCAACTTGATATGGTGTCAATTTTAATTTGACTAAGCTTAACTTAGCTTAGCCGATGCACAATAAGCTTTGGTTGACGTGCTTGGACCATGAGTCCACCCTCTTACAATCATCAATCAAGCTTAGCTTGTATAAATTTCAACCAAGAAATTAGAAAAATCTTACCAAACGGTTTTGTCTTAGTAAATATTCACCCGTGCAGCAACTGAACAAGTTGAAACCAAACCACATAGTCTATTAAGACAGAAAAAAATATTTCAAGTGAGGTCTAATAAAAATCTTTAAGAGTTGTAGAAATATCTTTATTTAACTTACATCGATACATTTATGGTACAGAACACATTTTTAGGTACACAGATCATTATTATTTTTTTAACAATGGAACAGTTAATTTACAATTCAACAAGTTACAAATTAGTGCGCTAATGTACTTTGAAAAAATAGTAGGCCTTATAACAGGTTTTTTGTCATTTAAACAGTTTAATAAAAATAAATATAGTTACCGGTAAGCATATAAACCTCTTAAGCTTAAAAAAATTCTTCAAAAATACTTAATTGTTAGTTAGTAGGCTACAAAGTTTTCACATTAAAATACAGTAGGAGTAAAATGTAAAATCTGGTATCTGTGGTTAGCCTACTGGCATTGTAATGGGATACATTTACTACCCTACACCTTATATACAAACACATTTCATTTTCTATCCTACCGTACATTTGTGATTTGTAATTGTGTTGAATGGATTACTTTTGAACAGTGAAAGATTCACGGTTAAAATTTTGTAAAATAAAATCGGCAATATTAATTGTGGTTTGGTGTTAACTTAGGGCAACATAGCTTAGTTGGTTCTGTGTTAAATACATGAACTAGGTCTACTGCAAGAAAGGAGTTAGATCAAAAAATAACAAGATAGCTAGGTGTGAGTGAATGTGAAGTTGTATCACAATCAATCCACGTCATTCAACTATTAAATTTGGTAAGGTAAAAAATACAACAGTAAGCCATTACCAGAAATTTCAACCTTTTAAAATGTATATGACTTTAAATTGGTCTTAAAAGTTCAATTGGATTTATGACTGGACAGATGGATGCACCTCCTAAGTTTCTATCAAAACATCCAAGAGACAACACATTTGATAATATCCAGATCAAGCTAAGTACAGCTTGTTACACGTAGGCCCTAAGCTGGCAATTGGGCCTAGCGCAGGCAGTGTTGGTGGAAGGGGGGTGGAGGTTTAAGGAAAATACCAGATTCACCTGAGTCGGGAGGAATGTTGACACAACCCAAATGACAGCACATAATGTTTTAGAAGCCTAGTAGGCCTATTGTTCAGGTGCCAGCTTACATGTAACGAGCTGTACCCAGCATAGAAATCTTACTAAATTGCAGCCTTAAATGGAATAGGCTAAGTTATTGACATTCTTAAATTTCAAAATTGGCGTGTCAGTGAAACAAAATAGCCTAATTAAGTTATGTAAGTTAACATGTAAGCTTTTCATAGCTTACCAAGTGTTTCTTTAGCAATCATAATAATACAAAATATCTTAGGGATAATTTTCCTTTACTAAACTTAAACTATGATAAATTTAGCATGGTTTTGTCAGGTTTAAAAGTTTAGTTTACTCCAAGGTTTCAAATCATGCATAGCCTATCATTTCCTGTAGACAACTTTGTAGACAACAAATATGAAATAACACTAGGCTTATAACTTAATGTCGGAAAATCTCAATAAAGTTCTTTGAAATTTTAAAAATCAGGCCTTGTGAATCAAAATCCATAATGTTACCCATATCCTCCAGTAATTTAGTGTATTGGTCCCAAATAAGAGTAATGATAACTAATAAAGATGAAAAATAAAGGATGACAACCACTTCTAGAGTAAATTACAACTACTTTTCTCCCTAAAGGGGTTAGCTTTTTGAGAGCTAAAGCCTACCAGAAGGCAATCTTCTTGCTCATGTTCTGAGATGTATTTTATGATGTCTTGGACTGCTTGAGATACGCTAATGCGCTTAATTGCAGCTTCTCTTCTAAGCTGTTCTGTTACTTGCCTCTGTTGTTGCAAGTTGGAGATCATCATATCCATAACAGCAGTATCTGATAGGCCTATTTTAGGGCGTGGTATGGAACTTGCAGGACGAAATCAAGGCCACAAAAGGCAGAATCACTTATTACAGTAGGTTTCCAACGAAAAACTATCGCTTAACACCAGCAACACAAATCTCTTAGATAAATATTACACAACAAATACCGAAGTGGTTTGTTTTGGTGAATTAAGACGTAATATAAGCTGATAAAGGTTTAGTACGAAGGAAGGAAATTCGGATTCAACAACATTCAACAGTTGGAGTTGAGTTAATGGACCTACTGTTCTATTTCTATCGTTCGTCGTTCCGTGTTCCTCTCGTTCCAGTTGACAGAACAGAACTGACTGAACAACGAATTTGACAGTTGGTGAACCGAGCCGATTAATAGTTGACAATCAGTGTTGCCATACCATTACCATTAGAACAGTTTTCTAACATGGTAAAATTTTGTATTTTCCTTCCACCATATTGTGTATTATCATAGTCATAATACTCAATGGTCATATCAAGAATTTATTGACCATTCAACAATTAGATGCTATCAGTCTCGTCACAAAAAAAAATACAAAATGTTGTAAAAATACAACATAATATATTATATTAATAAAAGTTAAGTAACATACAACAAATAAAAATTATGTCTGCATCATGTATCACATTACCTCTGTTGCGTTATCTAACGACCCCAGGGCTGGCGAGAGCTGTCACGGGTCCCTTATATTCCCGATTTAGTGTCTAGCCACCTCCGTGCTTGTTTTGTTAAACATTTAACAATATATCTAATGTGAGGGATTTTTACCCTTAACGATAAATTTTAATTTCTACAACTTTCACAGATAGTTCAGGGTGTAGGTGTCTAACTATCCAGGGTCTAAAATTAGCCTAAATCTCGATTTCCCAATATATCTCGAGGTTAAAGCTCAGTCCGCGGCAACCAAGTACACCTACAATGGACTCATCATCGCCCACCTCGAGATATCGAATCGAATTTGGACTTTGGCCATATGGCCTTTACTATCGAATTTTCGCGGTAACTAATGTTAACCGTGACCCTACCGACCTATTTGTAGGTTAAGGTAACTATCCGTTACTCTACCTTTTGTGTCGCGACTTATTCGGTTACGAGCTGGCACTTACCTCGTCCCTTAGTCTAAATCCGCTCGAACACAATTCACTATGTGTACCCGGTACCCCCTCCAATCAGCTGAGCTTCGCCGCGAGGTATTCCCTCACGGTAATGTACAATACTTACTTCTTAGCCAACCCGTCGAGTGTTCTGCCCAAGTTATAACGCTTGGGTAGAACTAACTATACTAAGATTGGGTTGCTTAGTATGCCTAACAACCCCGAGCTTATACTTACCGACACTATCCACCTCGGGCCTAAGACTGACTTACTTCAAGAAGAACACTTATATTTGTTTATAAACATGACTTACTACGTCACACTTATGGCTATAGTCGCGGTATATTCAACCACGACGGTGCATACCTTGAGAGCTGTCCTACGTCCAACATCAACTGCCTAGTGCCCCAAATGCTTCTGCTTATATAGGACCTTCCAGTGGCAGGGGGTGTAGGGGTCAGGTATGGGAGGTAGGCTCGGTAGTCCAGATGTGTTGCCGCACGACTTTTAAGCTCGGCCGCTACCTCAATGTTTACTTCTAACTCTACTCTCTCTCTCACTCTCTCTCTCTCCCTAATCCTGACACTATTGTCATTCAAACTATTCAACTACACTTCCATTGTTATATTTGTGTACCAATAATACCAGAATAATTTTAATAAATTAATAATTCTATTTCTAACTAAACAATTGGGCTTATTATGGCCTTAGGAATAATTAAAGACAAGAAACAAAATAAAACGTGTATTCTTTCACAAAATAAATATTACTTCTTACAACTAAAATAAACTGTAAGGGAAAATTAACCCTTACACTAAAATGCATGATAGTTTGATTAATTCTCTTGCTCATAGTTGCAACTTTATTCCACTCAAAAATTACTATGTGACCTGGAAAACCATGCTAAAATGCAAATGCGATATTTTACAAAGAGTGGTTTGCAGTGCTCCACAGGGCCCACCCCGGCAATAGTGCGGATGATATGTGTAATGAGTGACCCCATAAAATATGACCGTATTGCAAATGAGATTGAAACAAGCCAAAATTTGTTGATCTCAGGTACTCTATGCTGATAAGAGGTTCAAAGAATTTTAAATTCATCTTTTTCCTTCTTTTGTTATGTATTCAGGCAACGCTGGTAACCTCTTACTTTTCCAAACACTTTTTCATCAACAGTAAAATAATTTATTTTAATACTAAATTTACTTTAGTACAGTAGTGTTTTTCAATAACAACATGGACAAGGCTGGTAGCACTGAGTTCACTTTGTCTGTCAAGATCAGAAAAAACAGCAGCAGAAGCAGAGCAGAAAAACAGGTATTTACTCAGGGGAGGTATAGAAGAGGCTACGATGACAGCTGTGGGCTTCTTATTAGCTGAGGGAACGCCATTACCGCAACAAAACGATCTGGAGTCATCGGCCTCGGTGGTCTAATGGTTAGCGTGCCAGGCTGATATGCTAATGGTCCCGGGTTCAAATCCCGCTCGTGGCATTAACTTTTTGTCCAAGATTTTTTTATTATCAGCAAGTTTGGTTCGGTTATGACAGTTTAATTGTATTATTAAGTCATTATAGAATTTTAGTAGAGCAATTTCTAGTTTTATTTAATAAACAGAATTATTTTTTCTATTAATAAACTTTTGTTATATTATTTCATTATCAGCAAGTTTGGTTAGTTCGGTTAGGTTATGATAGTTTAATTTTATAATTTTAAAAATGATAAAATTGAATTTGAGGCAATTATAATTTTATTTTATGAACAGAACTATTTTTGCGATTAGTAAACCTTCTTTGCCAAAGTACTCTCTACTACAGCGCTGTTCACGAAGGAATTTTGAACTAATGCCTCATTCGTACCTCCCCTAAGTCAGACCCAGAAAAACAAACGTTGGCTGATCTGATGGCTCTTGGCTGCTAACTCGCTAACTCAACTGTCTGCATAGTGCATAACATAACAACACGACTTTTCTTTTCAGTTAGTTCTGTTCTTGTAGAATGTAGACTAGTTGTTTAAACAAACCTATCGATTTCATAGTGTCATAAGTTAACAGATTTGAATTTTATATTTAATAACTGAATTCAAAGTAGGCTACTTGTTATTTCTCTACTTATGAAAACATGAGAATTCAGGTTGGTTCTAGCCTAAATGGGGTTTCAGGTAAAAATATTGAAATAGGCTATTTCCACCAGTATGCCTAAGTATTATGATGTAGGAGTAGAATAGGCCTAGCCTAGTACTTGTGTGAACCTGGCAATAACTTGGCAATAAGTAGTGCGCGCGCCTTATAAAATCTATTGCTGGACGTTTTGCAGAAAAATACGGCCGCGTTGGTTATTACCGATAGTGACACCTGACAGAGGACACATTGACACATTAAACGGACACGTCAGTATCAATATCATGTACCTGGGGGGTAAGTTGGGGGGGGGGGGTAAAGTCAGCAATAAGTCGATAAAATCTATTGCTGGCCGTTTAGCGGAAAAATACGGCCGAAAAGGTTATTACCGAGAGTGTCAGCTGATAGAGAACACATTAACGGATACGACAGTATCAATATCATGTACCTGGGGGTAAGTTAAGGGGGGTTAAGTTAAGTCAGCAATAAGAAGTGCTTGCGCCCGAAAAAAATCTATTGCTGGCCATTTTACGGAAAAATACGGCCGCGTACGTTAAATTTATTACCGAGAGTGTCACCAGATAGAGGACGGACACGACACTATCAATATCATGTACCGTACCTGGGGGTTAGGTTAGGGGGGGTGAAGTCGGCAAAAAGTAGTGGTCTTGCCTGGAAAAATCTATTGCTAGCCATTTTGCGGTAAAATAAGGCCACATAACATATTACCGAGAGTGTCACCACTCACCAGATAGAGGGCACTTTAACGGACACGACAGTATCAATATAATGTACCTGGGGGGTAAATGCAGCAATAAGTAGTGCGCGACCCTTCAAAAATCTATTGCCAGCCGTTTTGTGGAAATATACGGAAAAATAGGCCTACTTTAATGCTACTGCGATCATCAGAAGTGTGAGTTGTGAGTTATTATTAAAAATTGTAGTTCTTACCATTATTTAAATTGTAAATTTACAGACTAATATATGTTTGTAGACTGATAGTTTTGTTTGAGCAGACCAATGCCTGTTAGTTTTGAATTATTTACTATTTCAATAACATGTTTAGTAGACGAGTAGAGTAGACAACAGAAAGACTAGACCTACTAAGTAAAATACCGTACTTGAAATAGTCTACTGAATTAATAGAATTATTTATACTTTCAGCAAAATATTAGTTAGGCCTATAAGTTATTTTAATATTAACAACACACAGCTGTGATGATTGAAACACGGTTAAAGTGTCCTCTATCAGGTGACACTATCGGTAATAACCTATTCGGCCGTATTTTTCCACAAAACGGCTGGCAATAGATTTTTTAAGGATCGCGCACTTCTTATTGCTGCATTAACCCCCCCTAACTTACCCCCCAGGTACATTATATTGATACTGTCGTGTCCGTTAAAGTATCCTCTATCTGGCGACATTATCGGTAATATGTAATGTGGCCGTATTTTTCCGCAAAATGGCCAGCAATAGATTTTTCTGGGCGCGAGCACTTTTTGCTGACTTAACCCTCTTATCTTACCCACTAACTTACCACCCGGGTACATAATATTAATACTGTCGTGTCCATAAAAGTGTCCTCTATCTGGTGACATTATCGGTAATATATTATGTGGCCGTATTATTCCCCAAAATGGCCACTAAAAGAATGAACTCCAATAAAACTAATGCAAAACTTAAATCCATCCAAGCTGTGCAACGGAACCAGATTGACGATTTAAAAAAAATTACACCAAACTTGATCAAAGCAACAATTATCAGTGGTAAGTTTAGAAGAAATATCCCTTACTGAAGAATACCGTACCAATGATTTCATCGGAATTACCCTTTGAATTCAAGCGACTACAATTTCCTTTGCGACTTGCTTTCGATCGTAATCACCATTATAAGGAACAAGGGCAATCCCTGACTTGCCGGTTTAAATTTAGAAAATGCATGCTTTTCACACGGACAGCTTATATGTTGCGGGCTCAGGTGGTGCTAGGTACGCCTAAAGACTTACCATATTTAATACACCTAATGAAAAAACAAAAACATTGTTTATCCACTGGCAATTAATTAAAATAAATATTTTCTGTTTGTTTTGGTAGGTATACATTTTTATTATTTGTCGTAAAGAACAAATTACCATTTAAAATAATAGTTCTTAGCGCGGCAACGCATGCCGGGTAACCGCTAGTTAATAATATCAGTAGGATATATAGGCTAACTTAGCTTACTAATTTATTCATGTAGGTAGGTACTCATTATTTTACCATAGTTTTAAATTGTACAGCCTCAAATAAGTTACTTGATCAAATTTTCAGTTTGGTGATGATTCCTTGTGCTGATATAAAAGTATTGTGCTGATATATCTGAGTTTGAAGCATGTCTCTGGACTTCATTGATATCCCTGATGCAGGTCAGTTTTAGTGGTAAAAATTACAAAAATATTTGGTAGGCCTCATACTTATTTAGATGTTCACTAGTCTTAAACTATTTCACCGGTTATATAAGTTTAACAAAGGGTTTTATTTTTATGCCTTGGAGGAAGTATTTTGTTGCAGTCTGGTATAAATCAAACACAAAGTTTAGGTAACACTAACACACCATTTTATTAATCTTAACATACCATGATCACATTTCAGACCGGAAACCTCCGTTCCTCGCTCTCAGGTCCACATACCTAGTACCATGATCACATAATAATGTACCATATAAAATTTGAAAGAAGTTTTAATGGCAAATCTATCTGGGTCTTCTTACAAACAATTAACTGTTTAGAAATGCTTTGCTAAAGCCGGGTCTACACGATGTCATTAGGCGAGACAATCGTCAGAAGACAAACTGACTGGTATGAAATTATTAGCTTCGTGTAAACTCTTCATGCCAACTGCCTTGCCAAATACCCTCACAATCGTGGTAAAATTCAGTGGTCTCCAGGGATAGACTGAGGACAACTACCGGTAGCCATCAACAATCATGTGATGACAATTGGCGAAGACAACAGTCTCACCAACTGGTATAGTGTTAACCCGGCTTAAAAGCCTGTTTTTCCGATTGGCACCAACAAACTGGTAACAATTCGAGTGCTAAACAATTATTGAACTAACTTATTACTCCACCTGTTTCTTTGACATAATTCAGGTAAGATATTATTGAAGAGAGCATACATGACATAGTTTGATGTTATCAGTTAACGATTTCTGTTATATACACTAACTTTTAATCAAACCTGAAAAGACAACTTATTGTTAACAATAGTGACTCTAACCTCATATTATCTGTCACAGATTAATTTAATTAGTTGCGCCCGCTATTAGGGCACATCACAGCCGGCAGCCACCATTTTGGTGAAGATTAAGGAAAAATACTGGCTTCACGTCGTGGCCAACGTGCTCCATCTAGGTCTTATGTGATCGTTGTATCTTGGAAATGATCGAGCTCCCGTTCGTGTTGCTCTCGCTAGTCTTTCTACCCTAATACAACTAAAAGAGATCGTACAGTTATGACAATAGCTCAATCACAGTCATCACAGTGGTTCATTTAACTTTAAAAAAATTAAAGTCTAACGGTCAATGCTACTAATAATGTCCCGATGTAAGTAACTAGGCTAACTATTTTTTTCCTTATCAGGTCCTGGTCCAGGGAACTTGAGCCAAGGGTTCCAGTTATCTGATCATAAAGAAATGATTGCAACTACTGCTTCAATCAGCACAATTCTACAGTTCTTGTCTGGCGCGTAAGTTACAATGCTAGCTTGTGATGTGTCAATTCTTGATACTGTACCACCAATACCTGGAAATCGGTATTGAGAATCGATCGTAAAAAATGTATTCCGATACCGATACCCAAAACGTCTGCGAAGATAGGGCAACCTGAAAATTACCGCTATTAGGTACCACAATCATGCAACTAGTTTAAATGCAATTTTATTATGAACAAACATTAAACAATTACAACCTAAAAAATTACAGTTCTGTATTACTCTTGCATATAATTATTTAAATATAAATATGTATTTACAACTAAATAACTGTTTTTTCTGTGTGTATTTACAACACTTGTACTGGGACTAATTTCTTCCAAAACCTATTGAATCATCTTACTGTAATAGGTTTATAACATTGATATCTGTTATCTACCTATTCGCTTATCTGCCAGGCCCGAGGGTCAATAGAGGTTCTACTGTATTGATTTCTCTTTAATCTAACCTCTGATGAAGGCAAAAGGACAAAATATCTGTGTTAGGTCCTTTTTTTGTGTACAGATGAAGAACCTGAGCCCTCATATCTTAGGTACCTAATCGTGTTGAACTATCTTTGCCGCTTTTCCTTAAAATCATACCTATATTTTTCTGTCACATGCCTGATTCATTAACTGATGATTGTTGCATTAACTTTTTCTTTAATTGAAAAACACATTGGCCTACCTTAAAAATACTATATGGGAGGACATAAAGAAATAGTAGTCAAGAATGGAAGGATATTTTAAAAGAAGTAGTATAACTAATCCATTCAGAAAATAAAACTATTTAAAAAAATTGTATTGGTATCAGCCATCACTTATGCCAACCCTTAAAAAAATCGCAGACGGCTTATCATGATTTTGTAAATGTGACCAAGAAGTAATTGTGTGTATTAAATTTTGTTACCTATTACTTTTTGTAACAACCAGTGGATAAATCTGTTGCGCGTTGCGTGGTGTTTTTTTATGATCATTGTTTTAAGTGATTTTTTAAACTGCCAGTTAACTGAAGTGTACTTAGAAGTCTCATTGCTTTGCAATTAATACTCTCAAGATGTTATATCATAAAAAATTAGTATACAGTAATATTGCATTGATTTTTTCAGGTTGGTGTGCAATAAGTTCGTCCAGAAAGGAACAACTAGTGATGTATCTTGTCTGCAATTTGTCGCCGGATTTTTGTCGTACGTACATTTTATTTTTCAGAAAAGATTTCAAAGGTTTTTTTGAAAACGTTAAAAAAAACTTTTTTTTGAAAATTTAAGTTTTTTTTAGGTGGGAAGTTAATAACGAAAACTGAAAATTGTCGTTAAAACTATGTACAAAGTTCATGACAATCGTCAAAAGTCAAAACATTTAAAACTTTTTTTTTAATTTAAAAAATTTGGTCTTTCCAAAAGCAAGATTTTTTTTATTTCACAATATATATAATACTTTTGATTTCATCTAAAAAAAAAAACAATAATTGATAGGGTAAAAATAAAAGCAACACTTTTTCACTTTTTATATAATGAATAATGTAGGTACAAAAATATAGCCTATGTTTGTGTATTATCTTTGACCATTGGTAGACTTCCCTACCCAAACATCAATGCCATAATGCAACCTTAATATTCAAATAAATACTGAATATTACAATTATAGTCCTATGTAACTAATCTAATACCATATCTTTTACAATTGTAATTGTATTGCCTAGGTGTGGCCTCTGGTTAAGTTACGGACTGTTGATTGATGACTCCAGTATTGTCCTAGTCAACAGCGTTGGAACGATACTATTTATGTGCTACATATTTATTTTCTACACCTACACTTTGCGTAAGGTTAGTATGAATTTTAGCATGTATAATTTTTTTAACGCCTATTTTTAATGACAACCTGAACCTGAGCTTACTCTTAACTTCAACGATGGGACCAGTACTCTTGGTTAACTGAGCGTAACAAGTTTATTAAATATAGTGTAGAAATATTAAAATTATTTTCTGTGTAGCTTTTAAGCCGTAAACCTCTTCTCAGAAGTCAGTACTGAGAGGTATTTTGTACAGCTCACAAATGCGTAGTTTAGTTGCAAGCACTAGTCCCTGCGACTTGGATGCTCTCACAGCCTATCTGTATGTTTATATTGAACTGTGGTTACGAGTACTCAGTTTAGATTGCGCTAGTACAGTAGGCTTGCCTGACCTTTAAATAGTAATTGATAATTTTCAATGTGTTTAGTACAGTACAATGGGCTAATTGTAATATTTAGTCAAAAACCAATTTTTTCTACGGATAAAAAATTTCCATTGATTTTACCATAGAGAAAAAAATTAAATTTAGACAGTAGTGCTGCGGTGAGCATATGTTGTAGCGTCCACCGCTAGGAGGGCCATGTAGTTACGGCGCACACCACTGCAGCGTCTGCTGGTTGCATGTGGCGAGGAGCCGACGACGGCAGTGAATCAAACACTGAGCACGCTCTAGCGGCACATCGAGGAACCTTCCTTTGACAGTCTATTTTTATTCTATTTGTCTATAATTTTACTAACATTTATATTTTTATATAATCAAACGAGACTTAAACACTACTTTTGACTAAATTTATCGATTACAGTTTATTAGGGATAAACTATGGTTTTTTAAATGGCTGGTTTGCACCTAAATTGTTATCTGGCCAGGGCTCAGTCCCATGGTGGCCAGATATGAAGGGTTCCACTGTACCCAAACCTGTGACAAAGTTGTTACACAATTGCACAATTCAAACGGCATCGATTTAAGAAATTTTGTTTCAGAACCTTGGTTAAAATTTTTAATTTGTTACATTCAAATGCTTACATTGGTTATTTTTTTCCAGTGCAAATTTGTGAAAGAAAAAGAAACTCATTGTTTGGTCATGATAGGATTAAGCCCGTCCTATTCACACAATAACTCTCATACACTAACCACCAGGCTAGCAACACACCACAAGTTTACAAGTTTTACACAATATGTTGCCGTCTAAGAGTTGTAAACTACAGTAAATATGTTACACATTATAGATGAACAACAGTTGTCATTCTTGTATGTTTCAGAATGCAGTTGTTAAGCAGGTGATGGCAGTGCTGATGGTAATGGTGTCGGTGAGGCTCTATGCCTACTGGGTGTCAGATATAACTGTGGCCAGGACACATCTAGGTCTGGTAGCGTGCAGCACCACCATAATGTTCTTCAGCGCTCCACTCACAAATCTGGTATGAGAATGTAATAACCAACCATTTACAGTTTTGATTTGGGTTTTGAAATCTGATCGTTCTTTGTTCCCTTTACTACGTCAAAAACCCTGTAGCCATGGTAACTTTTTACCCTTTACCCCCTTCCTATAATTTATTACATTTTACACATTGCTTCAGGCTAGATCAGTGGCGTAAGTACATTGAGCAGCACCCCCCCCCCTTTGCAGTACATGTGTATGGTGCACCTCCCCCCATCAAAACTTTACCATTTATGTTTTATTTGTTTATCTCCACAAAAGCCGTGATCACTGCCAAATCCAAAAAATCTCGCAGACGTGTTGATTGCGTCTCCCTTAGTCATGGATAAATCATCATCAAGTTTCATGATCGCGGCATGAACTTTTACATCATCGGCGGTCTTAAAAATATCATCTTCGTCACTGGCGGTAACGGAAACATTGTAATTCTTTCCCCTGATTGCGGCAAAATCATGAACACCTTCTTTGGTCTTGTAGACATCATCTTCGTCTCCCACGGTCACGAAAACAAAGTAATCTTTTTTCTGCGATTGCAGTGAGCGATCACACCTTTTTTCTGCGATTGCAGTGAGCGATCACACCTTTTTTCTGCGATTGCAGTGAGCGATCACAATCGTATCTCAGAGCCCCCTAGTCCTCGGTGCCCCTTCCCCTCACTGCGGGGGTGTTATTTACTGGCCTAAATGGCTTTACTTTAATACTTCCTTATGACATTTCGCCATTGCGACCATACAGGTATTTTAAGCCAGGTATGAATGGAGATGAGATAAGTGTAGGATGAGTGGCGCGATCGTGTAGTCTTGTTAGTGACTAAGGCAAACATGTTCCTTAGACACAGATGTGAATTAATAGCCCATACAGCCAATGGCAACTATGAGACCTACAGTTTATAGTGGAATCCGAACCACATTTTTGCCTAGTAATTAACGAATTGGTCTAATTATCAGGATAGCACTGCGGAACTCGTTGTACATATTAGTGCAGACGTTAATCCACACAAGGGAGTATCACATCTACAGTGCGTGCCTATAAATATCCACAATTCGTGACCTCCTAGTAGCTGGACAACAGGACGACGCCTCCGTCCCAGGCTTGCCATACAGTCAGTAAACTCGACGTAGAAAACCTAAGTGTGAAAGGAGCATAAGGAAGGGCGTAGGCCTGGATTCATCCGACTACTTAAGCCTACTGGTTATGCTGAAGGACTAATGACATTTTTCTGTTACCAGGCATATGTACTGAGGGTTAAAAGCGCTGAGAGTTTACCATTCCCAATGATCTTGATGACTTTCCTCGTTTCTTTTCAATGGTTCCTGTATGGCATTATATTGGAAAATCCGATCATCCAGGTAATTTATTAGTTTTATTTAGCCTACCATTATTTTTCTTGGATCACTGAAAAAAATTTAAGCAAAGTAACTAAAAATGTCATGACATTCATTCGCCTAACGGGTCTCATGATGATTGGAGTGTCTAATCACAATCGATCACCACTACCATGTCTTGTAAGTTAACAGCATAGGCGTAAATAATATAGGTTTGAAGTGTTATTAGACGTATTTTTATTTAATCTCCGTAAATTTAATAACAGGTACTAGTACTATGCTGATCAAGAATTTATTTTTAAAAATGTGTCCTCACACGTTTATTTAAAGAGACAACTGAGTTTAATATTTCCCATTTGCCTGTGTGTGGCAATAAATTGGTACCGTATGTTATTACATAAATTATACATTTCAATCTTTACAATAATATTCCTCTTAATCCCCTTGTTAATAAATGAATTAGCCTACATAAATGACTACTGTTAGACTTGCTAGTTCCAATTGCAATAGTTATCGGGTCTGAAACTATTTAAAGCTAGATTTATCAATTTTCTACAATATAAATATCAAAAAGATTTTTATGATACAGTAATATAAAATGTCTTAATTGATATTGGTTTTGGTTATTTTTGAAACAATTTAGGTATTAAACGTGTGATACAAATTCAAAATTGGTTTGAGTTTGGAATCAATTTAATTTAAACATTGGAATGTCAATACAAACCTAATCTTTTATACAGAAAATATGAAATTTTGTAGGTTAACTTATAGGCCTATCCAAATTTAAAACACAAAGGTTTACTGATGCTTGTGATTCCTAAAATAAATTTAAAATTGTCTTAATGTAGTTAATCCAACTGAAACCATTATTCTATTGTTATTGTTACATTTGTTCCATCGCCTTGACTTTTGGTTATCCTTCATTACTTTATTGTTAGAGGATTTCTCCATTTTACTACGCATAGAGAGAGTTTTAAATTATTCAGTTAAAGAAAAGTCAAAGGTAAGCAAACGAGTCTAACAATAGAGCAAATATTCTCAAACCAAGTGTTTATAGTTATAATCTTCCAAAGATTAACCGTGTTGTGTCATTTTCAGTACCCCAACATCGTAGGCTGTCTGTTGAGCCTGTTTCAGTTGTCGTTGTTTGTCATATACCCGGCTCGGTGACATTAGCACACCTCCACCATCCTCAGGGTGTTCCCTGGACGCGTGTTCAACACTCAAACTAGCCAGAACAGGTTGGAAAAGTGATGTTTGTGTGTTTTTGCCCAAGAGTGTACTATATTATTCTCGTTTTTTAAATTGTGTTAATGGAATCAGGCATGTGACAAAAGTAAAAGTAAGATTTTAAGGGAAAGTGGCATGGCTGATTGAAGATTTTTAAATGAGAGTTAATCTGTACACAAAAAGGTCACACGATGTAACACAGATATTTTGTCCTTTTGCCTTCTTCAGAGTTAGATTTAAGAGAAATCAATATACAGTAGAACCTCTATTGACCCTTGGGACCGGGAGCGTGACGGATAAGCAAATAGACAGATAACAGAAATCCTGTTATAAACCTGAACAGTAAGTTGATTTAATAGGTTTTGATACATGTACAAGTGAATAATACATTAATAGATTTAAATTACTTGTATACAATAGTAATAAAGAACTGTTATTTTGTATGTTGTGCTTGTTTGATGTTCGTACAGTGGAATAAAATCACATTTAAAAATAATCTATGTACTGTAGCGGAGTGACGGATAACAGAGAGTGACGATTAAAAGGGTGACAGTTAATGGAGGTTCTACATACTCATCATGAGATTGATCTATCATAAATCTATTTGAAGAAATACTATTAAATATTATTATATTTTCAGTACATTACTGCAGTTTGTTTCTTGAAAAAATATATAGAGTTTATACTACGGAAACGAACAAAACACTGACTGGCTCGGTGCATTCACTCATTTCCCCACCGGGCGCTGACTGCATGGCCCGAAAAATTGTAAAACATCTGATGTCTCTGTGCTAGTTCAATATTTTAACTAGGAGCGGTTAGGATTTTTTACGTTCGGATTTTCGACGCTTTACTGTACTATTGGTTTTGTTAACCCTGTAATCCCAGGCCCTAAAAGTAAGCCGTTACATAAAAACTGACTGGCATCCCAGGATTGAGACCCATTTGTAATTGAACACAAGTCTCTGCTGTTTTTAGTGGTCGACCTTTTTAAAGCAAAATTTGCTTTAATTTCAATATACATTTAACTTAAGTTGAAGTTCAACATTTTGGATTTGATTAATTTGTTATTTGTGTACCTATTTTAAGCCCTTGTAATGTGATTTCTCAAGTAAGATCACTGAACTGTATTAATTTAGTAAACAATTTCTTAATCAGCCAAGTCTCATCCATAAAGCAAATCAAAAGAATAAATAAGTATTACTAAGTTGTGAAAACAACAGTATTATTTTATAGATTCTTTCACACTATTTGTTTGTGAGGTATACAATAAATAAAAAAAAATCTTTGGTTTATTGAAATGTTAAATTCACTGATTTTTTGAAATGTCCCTATGTTATTATTTTGATTTTCCTTTCGCGTGTATTTTTAGTATTCACCAGTTAGTTTTTGAATAGGTATAAAATATGGTGAATTTTGTTTGATGATTTTAAGCACTGATTTTACGTTATCCAATAATGTTTGTTCATTTACAGGATGTTGCACGTCTTGCATATTTCTTGTGTGTGTGATTATTTTCTGAGTCTACTGTTTTCTATCTTAACAAAAATCCATCCATCACATTTTACAACTATTTTATAACTGTTTTGTCAATTAGTTTATTTTTTTAAGAGTGATGATTGTTATTTAATATTATTCAACTGTTGATCTTTATCTTTGCATTTTTCATATGTTTTACTACGATGCTTATTTTAGAATAAATAATCTGCAGTTATTAGTATGATTTTCTGTTTTTTTCCGAATCTAATATATATTTAAAGGATGGTTGTAGTTTTGTGCATTAATTGTTCAATTAAATATTTTGTTTAGTTAAAGTCAAATAAATACATGCAAGTTTTAAAATCCGTGATAAAATATATTGTGATATTAGTTAATAAAAATTTAGAAACTTTAGGTAGACTGCTAATACGCTGTACAATAACCCCTCTTTAAAATTATATTAATTTTCCTCATATTTTAGGATGTACTCGTAGATTAATTTACTGTGTAAGTGGAAAAAATAAGGATGTTTACTTTCAGCAATAATTTCTAAAAACTGCTTATTCAAAACTAAAATGCATTGTTTAGTTTGTTAAATAGTATTATTATAATGTTAACTGTATATAATAATTGTTAAGATTTGTCTTCCTTTTTTATATTTCAAAGATGTTTTAATAAAATAGCTACCACAATTTGAATATGTGTTTTTATTTAGCAATACTTTTGTTTTTCCCACCCTGAATAACAAAAAAGTGGTTTAGGCAAATCCAGCTTAATCTGGTTTTAATATTTTAGAATGTTCTTGCTGATGTAATTATAGTTTTTCTCATGCGCTGTGTGACTTAAGGGACTTCATCTCCTTGGGGCAAAAAGAACTAACTGGAGTAGAGGAAAAGTATTATTGCATCATGATGAAAACTTTTTTGTGTTTATCTACACACAATATGTTGTATGTCTGGTAATATATACCCCATTATTGAAATATTAAGACAACTCATGAAATGCATAATTGTATTCGTAACCTAACTCCTTTAACAGCATTGGTGGTTTTTAGATTAAATTAAATGTAAAAAACTCTAGTGATAATGTTAAAAACATGTTAGCAGGGTAATAATACATATTCCATCTAAATAAATGTAAGGCTGATTGTATAAAAAAAGGCAAACCATTTTAGGAGCTAGTTTGTAAAGGTTTGCTGCGGTGGGGGTATTTATTTTGTGAACAATTTGGATCGAAGAAAAGTTGCAGTATGACGATAAGTATAGGCCATCAATCACTCAGGCCGAAACAGTTTTTGTCAAGGTCTCAAGACAAGAAAATTAATGTTTGGCAAAAAGTCTGCAGATGTGCTGATGTGTTTTGTCAGTTTCATCATTCAGTTCAGGTACATCGAATATATACAGACAGTCTTGGACGTCTTCTTGGTGTTCTTAATGTGACGTCATCAGAAGGCTTTAATCTTTTCTTGCATGGAGTCTTCTACCCCATTGATGTAGTTTTGGTAGCAAACCTCAGTGAGCTCTTTCCGTACAAGACAGAAATCCATTATATTTGTAAGTTAAAAGTCCTTTTGTCTTTTGTAATCTCGATATGAAGTAGGTTTTTTTCTAAAATTGGTCTATTCCAAGTCTTGAGAAAACCGACAAGGAAATGTAGATTAACCAAGACATTTTAGTGAAGTGAATGATTTTATTAGGGAGTTTAGCTCAGAACAAAAAGCCGTAAATGACGATTCCATGTCGTCAGCACAACTCAGTAGTGGATACTCCGCCAATTTTGTAGATTATTGAATATTTTTTCCTTGTTGCTCTTGTAAAAATATATTATGTATATACTAGTCTACATACAAGTAGACTAGTATGTCTACTGTCTACAACTGTACTACATACAAGTCTATAGCTTGTATGTTATGTTTCTTGACCTTGATCTACCCGGGAATCGGGGCATTTAATTTTGATGTTAAGGGAAGGGAGATGTGATTCAACGGGGACCAAAGGATCCAAAGCCTGAGTAACCTCAACATGCTCCAATGTTGAAAAAAACCATATCCAGTAGAACTGCAGGTCATTGTTTGTGACATTTAATTGCTGAAGTTCAAAAAGGTAAGCTAAATTGAGAATTGGAAGATATGTTGGATCAAACGTAGTTATCAGTGTCAGTACATCTATTATCAGGTAAGTTGGAATCCCCAACCAGAAGAATGTTAGGGTGGGCGTTGGTATGTAAAATTTTTAAGTCCAAAGGTTTATCTATAAAAAAAAAAAAAACACACTTGCACACCTTTATTGGTTTTAACCTTAAGCGCGCGCTCTCGTTTTAAGTAAAAAAAAACTTTTTGATATTTAATCCTTTGAGGTTGAACTTTAGACGTAATATAATACATATATTCATTTTCTCATATTGTTACATAAATTTTATGATCCTACCATATTCTTTAACTGATCTGAAAATATTAGTTTGAACTCTTAATTAATTTATTCATGAGGAAATGTAATAATGGTGTTAAAGAGGGGAAAATCGTAGTTAAACAAGTTTTAATTGCAAACAAATATTATTTTTAACTTTACAAAAGTATAATACTTGTAAAAAACCGTAGAAGCAGTAAAAATATTTCATGAATTAATACATTTCCCGGTTTATAGAAAATACTGTACAAAATATATACAAAAAAACTTTCTTTGATAATGTGTGTTTTTCTTAAAAACATTGTCGTCCAGTGGTTGGTTTAGAAGTCCTTATAAACACATTTCCATTTCACAAATATTTTGCATTTGTCCCTGGATGCTGGGACATTGGTTTTTTTTTTTAAGGTTTTACACTTAAATTTGATCTTGGTGTCTTTTTGTCCAAGGCAGACAGTGCATCACGCCTTTGCACTGTGAGGCTAGATCAGTGCCTTCAGTGGACTCTATATGGTTGGACATTTCCATCCAATTGGTTTACAGATGCTAATTTTTTTTGCAAACTTTCAAAGTTATAATTAAAAAAGTTATAAAGTTATTAAAACTAATTGTAAATAAAACTGAGACACTTTACTGCGAACTGGGGTACACTACAGTACCCCAATCTGTACAACATTTATAAGCATGTAATAAGCATCTTGTCGCATGTATCACAATTAAAACTATTGTAAAAAATGGTGTTTGCCGTAAAAATAAATAAATAAACTAGACCCCCCAATGAACACAGTACTGGTAACACAAGCATGCGCGTGGGGGTATGCCAGACCCAGAGTGGTGATAACAGGTCAATGACTCTATCAAGACTAAAAACCCTGCTAGGCTGCGGCTAGATGATAGCATATAATTATATGCTATTTTAGAGGCAGCTAACTGTTATGCTCCCTAGGGTTGCCACCATACTTGTAAAATTATTACAAAATTATTGTACGCAGGGATATGTCATACCCCCGCGCGCGCGGTTAAGGGTTGAAGATTAACTTATACACAGTATCCAACATGTTCATTGTTTATGAAAATTGAATTTTGAATGAAACCAATAAAGGCATACCTAATAATAAACTATTCTAATAATGGTAATTATTGAATTTGAAACTTTCTAAATATGTTGTTACTATAATCGATAGTTTTACCGTTTTACTATGAAGTAGGCCTAATTATTTATATTTATTTTTTATACTCTATGTGGCACTTAGTTGGATGTTTGTGAAAAAAATGTGATATTTTGTGTTTTTTCATGTTTTTTTCGTGAGACTGTCAAGTGTCAATTCCAAATTTCCGATTGTCTGTCAAGTCAAGTCAGTCGAATTGAAGTGAGTGAATGCGAATTGTGAGGCTGAACAAGAGATAAATAAGTGGTTTGCTGGTTTGTGTACGTAAAGTTATGTGAAAATGCATTGATTTAACGTAATAAAGCTATACCATATCATTTACTTAGGAGATAACAGTGTTTTGTTTGTGATGTAAATATCTTTCTTCGGTTCTGACTTTGGCTGTTATATTATACAAGCTGATAGCTGAGCTTTAGTATGATAATGGGGTGTTTGAGGTTATAGTTAAAGTGTCAATAGACAAATATTCCTTTTACCTTCAGACAGTTGGCCTTAATCATTATGACTCAAAGGACAAGTTTGGTACTAAATGGCTTAACTGAAGAAACTGGAGTGGTTTCAATTATGGACAAAAAGCCCATAGTTACCTGTAAGTATGCAAACAACAGTAGACTAGATTGGAGTGGCTATCCAATAAGTTACCTTCACTATTTCCTTGGCCTACGTCATGGTTAAATTAATATCAAGAATTTATAGTCAATCAATACGGGTACGCGTCTAATTGGCACCGCGTCAGATTGGCACCGCGACAGATTGGCACCGCTCCTAGAGGTGCCAATCAGTCGTAACAGTACACGACAGATTGGAACCTGGAGAAAGGGGTGGTCCCAATCTGTCGTGGTGCCAAGCTGACGGCTGCCGCAGAGGTGCCAATCAGTCGTAACAGTACACGACAGATTGGAACCTCGAGAAATGAGTGGTGCCAATCTGTCGTGGTGACAAGCTGACGGCGACCGCAGAGGTGCCAATCAGTCGTAACAGTACACGACAGATTGGCACCGCTGCCCTCAATAGGCCCACCTTTTCGTTTTACTTACTAGTCTGATGTTTGAAAGCAGAAACGTGTCAATACTTGATGCATGTCAATTAATGTATACACATTGATAATAACATTAACTTTAACAGCACAAACCGCTTCGTAAATGGTCCATCTAATCAAAGTTACAGTTCCTCAAGGCTTTTAATATTATGCCATTAAATTTAAGTTTATAATTTGGAAAACGTCTGATACCTACTAAAGTATTTGGCACAATTGAATGAAACCTTGCAGTCATTTTTCGGAAGGGGGGTGTGCGTTAACCTGGTTAAAAAGGGTTTTTTCATTCAGAAGTTACAGCTTGTCAAAGATATGACAATTTATCATTCAGTTAACTAATATTATTTCAATGAAATGATATTTTTTATGCATTATAGAGTGATAAATTATGTTATATTTGAGATGCTGTAATTTATTACTTAATTTACCTTTTTGTAAACAAGATGCGGTTGCACGCAAGTAGGCCTTCCCTATAAAATAATTACCGGTACTTCCTTCTTGGACCAAAACTCTAAAATCAGGTAAT